TCTTTCCACTATGGAATAGTTTCAGAACTCATACACTTCTTAAGATGCTGTGAATATTTTAATCTACTTTTACATTTTCTCAGGGGAGGAAATTAGAGATGGTGGCTGAGTGAGTGAAACTGTAGGAGGTCAGGAATGGTTTGGGTTTGTGGCATTCAGGAAAGACTGGTGGGATTTTTAGCACTGTGCTCTTTGTTTTTAGAATGACTCTGAGGATAGCTGTGTAACCACCTCCTTGCTCCACTGGGCTGTTCATCTTTCCATTATTTCCCTCTAAAAAAAAACAGTAAGTGCAATAAATAGGAAAATCAGGTACCTGAATGAAAAGTGATCAGAGAGAAACCATCAGTGCTGGTATTTACATGGACCAAAAGATGATGGTTCTGTGTGAGCTAATGATTCACCAAGATGATCCTGAACTAGGGATATGTAGAAAGTCTCTGCTGCAACCCATCTGGCTAATCCATCTGGACATAGGTAATCCCTGGGCTTATATTTCTCACAAATCTGTTTTAAATGGAGTAACAATGGCATTTTCAGTGGAGGTTCCAGCACATTTGTGTCTCGCTTTCCCTGTAAAATCTCGAGTCACTGAGAGCTTGTGTGGCATCTCCCTTTCAGTAGTGAGGTACCATCAGAACCATTGACTGCACCTGCAACTATGGGTGCACACAGCTACCCAGGCAAGGATCCTACAACACAGTTCATCACAAGCTTTGTCACCTGCTGTGCTGTCAAAGGCAGATTCTTCAAGGGCTGTAGCTCTCCTTTGTAGGCCTCTCTGTTTTTCGCCTGTGCCTCCCAACTCCATCCAGACTCCTCCCATCATCTTCAGGCTCCTCATCCAGACTGAGGGGACACAGTTCCTGCTCTAATGGCTTTCTCCTTTTTTTTTTTTTTTTTTTTTTGCTGTGCTTTGCTGTTTGCTGCTTTCACAGCTTAGTGACATGCTTTTCCCTGTGTAACTCCTTGCATGCGCACGCCCACAGACTGTTCCACTTGCAATTAGCCTGCTTATGAACAAAATTACCGCCCTCTGCAAATCCTGAGAAAGCAAAGCTGCTGCAAAGTCTATGACAGAGAGCAAACAATATGAAAAAAGGCTGAAATCCCCCAGCTCAACTGAAACCCACGCTCCCATTTTCATTCCTTTTGGTGAACTTGCTGGCTCTGGCAGGGGAAGCAGCTCAGCTTGGCTCCCCCAGGATCTTGAGGAGGTAAGTTTGTCAGAAGACAGCATTAATCACATTATAAACCATATACTAATTTCCTCCTAAAAATCTCATATTATTTGCTTCCAGTTTTAAGGTTACACCTTTTCACTTCACCTCATACACCTGCTTGAAGCCTCCTCATTCTTCTGGGGGCTACCAGTAAGCAATCCAAGAAACCAAGAACATCCCTAGTCTATGGGATGAGGTCCCAGGCCCTGTTGCTGTCTCACACTGAAGCACAAATTCCTGTTTTTGGTGTTTGTTTGTTCATTTTTCAGGAAAAGTAGAAGGGAGGCGCCTGCATTTGAGAAAGCAAAAGGATAGAAAGAATGCTTGTGTTAGTTCTGTTGGAGGGGAAACAAAGAAGCCTCTAAAGAAGTTCTTTCTGGTTTCTCACTCCATGGCTGAAATGCATCTTTGCTGCTGTTCAGGTTAATCACTAGATTCCAAACTACAAAAGAGGGAGACAATGCTTATGGTGCAAAGAAAACAGGAATTACAGTCATTTATTACACTATTTGGGCGGATGGCAGGCAGAAAAACTGGGTGTTTGCTTTCCCCCTCTCTACGTCATCAAAGGAAGATGATGGTAAAACCACTGGCAGATGGAATTTTACAAGGAGACTGCATGCAGTGTACCAAGTTTGCCCTGATTGTGAGTGTGGGGAGCACAGTGACAAGGGAGATCAGCTTCTGCTAGGAGAGCATCAGCAGCCACATCTCAGTGCTTGTGCATGGCACAGAGCAGGTGGCAGGAGGCAGCAGGAGACACAAGTCAGGTCTGTATGGAAGCCAGCTGCTAAGTCATCTGCTCTGAGTCATGAGGAGCAGATTTCCCTGCTAGAGCACAAAGAGAAACCTGTGTCTTCTCTAACTCCACATTCATGGAAAAAATCAAGAATGGCATGTGAGTGAATATATAGATAGAAGTGTACATATATAAATCTATGCGTGTAAATCTATTGAGAGCTGTCCATGAGTGAAGAAAAGAGTGAGCAAGCTGAAGAAATGCTTAAGAAAAGCTATGGACTTAACATGCAGCACCTGGACTTAGCAGCCCTTCTCTCTGTTATCCCTTCTCCTTGCCTGCCCTTTTCTGATTTATGCAATCCTCCATTAAAATGCTGATCCATGTACCTGAAAGCACAAGATTCTCCCCATAATCTTTGTTCAAGAAAGGGAGGAACAATGTTTAAAATCAAGCTTTGAGTGGAGGATCAGAAAACTAGTATTAATTTTACATTTTATGCTATCTTTTCCTCTAAAGAGGCAGTACTTTTTGGTTATCAGCTAGCTGAACATGGTTTCTATCCTCTCCCATTAGGTAAACCTGCAGGCAGAGGTCCAGGGGGAGCTCCCTTGCTGAGGATACCAGCCCAAGCCAGCTCTGCTTTATGCTGGTGTTCCCTACAGCAGCAGTGATTCTGCCTTTCACCTGAATGAGTATACTCTGATTTCCTGAAATAAAGTGAACAGTGCAGGCAAGTGGAAAGCCCATCTCCCATGGGACAGATTTTAGAAGGTATTTCACAGTCAGCAGCAGTCAGAGACCACAGTCACTTTTAAAGGATCTGACACTAGCTTTTGTAAGACCTGAGAGATACTGGACCAATTGCTGAAGCATCAAAGGTCTAGACATTTATGGCAGTATTCTTTTTGGATCTCCCTGTGAATCTCTCTTCTCCTCTTAGGTCACCTCTCTGGTGAATTAATGAAAGGCTGTCTACTCCTTGTCACAGCCTTGCCCTCATGAGCCACCATTGGCCACAGACGGTGTTCTGTGGGCTGAAGCACAACACTTGGGCTGGCCTTGCTCCAAGCCCACACCAGACACTGTTCTTGAGTTCTCAGTGCAAACAGAATGGGTTATTAAAAATGGCTGATGCCAAACTCAGCTTGAAAAAAACTGAAACATTTAAAAAGTACCACGAGTCACAAAGTTCCTCTCTGCAGACCTGCACTGTCGTGCTGACACCAACCTTCAGGCACTTTCAGCATCCTCTTAGCAATGAAGTACAGGTGCTTGTAAACGGGTTAATATGTTAGTGCAAAGGGAGAACACAGACAGAGGGAATAATTAGCTCACTCTGTTCGTGTAGCCTCTTGACAGCTATTACACATCTCGAATGGGCAACAGGAGAAACGCCTCGTGCTCTCTGCCCTGCTGTTTCATGAAGTTATATTGGTAGGCTACGGTTTCAGAGAGGGCATAAGAATGAGGCTGAAATAACTCAGTGTAACAGAGGACTCTGATCAGTGGCAGAACTTCATGGCAGCAGTGTTATAATTGCATCCTTTGGTATTTGTCACAGTGCTCTCTACTCATTAAGTTGCCTACGAAGAAATCAGTTTAACTCTCATTCCCTGAACAGATTTTATTGACTGTCTGGGAGAATTTTAGCACAATGAAAGAGGGTATCTTGACATTTTTCTTTGCCACAGATCGGTATAAGCACTATTCATCGCAAGGTACCAATATTGAGGTGAAATAAACAAAGCAATTGGATTTTGGTGGTATGCTTCCCCTTAGTCCCCTCAGTTCAGAAACAATGAAAAACTTCTTGTATGTACAAGGTAAGCCAGCTCTGAAGCAGAGTAGATAAATCGCTATACTTCTGGGGATGCTGTGACTTTTAAACAGGATGAGGCTGTCCCTATGGATCCATCCCGCAAGCAATATATGGAAGCAATTACTCCTTCAGGAAAATATTTTTTTTCACAAACCTAAGCTGTTACAGCATACAAAGCTGTGAAAAGTTAAGTGACAAGCAATATGGACCTGGCAACATTACTCACCGCTCAAAATCAAGCCACAGTCGTGCTTGTTCAGCGGCAAGACCTGTCACAGCTGATGGCCTTGGTACCTGAAAGCAAGCCTGAATGGAAGCAGTAGTGTTCCTGGTGAGCAATATCCACTGAGAAAATGAACTCTACTTCAGGCTGCATCCCAGGTTTGCTTATTTGGATGAAAATCTAACACTGAGTGAAATTTTCAAAAGCATCTGCATCACCCAGGAGTATAAATCCCAATTTCTACATGAAAGAAATGCCGTACATCAGCGTGGGCAGGAACTAATGTCTTTTAACCAGCTCGATTACCTCCATATTGCACAGCAGCCAGCTAGGGAAGCAGCTCCTGAGGCACTTGTGAAGGGGGCCTGAAATATTTTGGAAGATGTTATCTCAGAAGATGTCTTATTTATTCAGATATTCAGATTTATTATGGGATTTATAATTGCACATGTTGTGATAGCTGCACTGATTAGATGCCAAACTAACGAATCTGTACCCTGATTTACACATTTATTTGGGGCATGGCACTGCCACATCTCAAGCAGCCTCACCAGCTGCTGAATGCCCATCACACCACCACGGTTTTGTAAGCACTGAACAGAGTTCAGTCCCTGCCCAGTACCTTTGAGAACAAGTGCTGTATGTTCAGTAATGGCAAGAGAAATGCAATGCCATGTGGCTTTTCCAGTCATCACTCATGTCATCGTGTGTTATAATGCCCAATGAACTTGTGAACATACAGGCACCTTAACATAAACTTTCTCTCAAAACTGGCGTAACAGCAATCACAGAAGAAAGGTCTATTCCCCATCCATTAGGAAGAACGCGTTTGCACACAAAAGAAACAAAAAAGAAGGAAGTGACCATCAGCCCTTACAGACAATGGCAAAGCTGAGAAGTTACTGGCTTATTTCCTTTATTAAGCCCAAAATAACACTTTCAAAAATCCTGACTTCATGAATAAATCAAATGCCTTCATTAAAGAAACATTACTGCCATTTTCTATACTTTATTTTAAGGCATACAGAAAAATATTTAACAAATGGGTATGCAATTAAATGCCAGGGACTGCTAATTACAGCCCTCTTGAATGTCTCTGCAAAACAATGATACTCAATACAATATGTTAGAAAGGGTGGGGAAAAGAAAGAGGAAGCTGAAGACGATCTAATTCATGTTAGTGCAGATATATGCATGCCTGTGGCTACAGGCTGCAAACAAGCCATCAGCGTAACCCAGAATGGCAGCCAAAGGATACTTTAGATTCACATCTTTGCTTCTGCTTCTCTAATTCATTTCCAAAACATTTCATCTCTAACTAATTATGGAGTTTAATGACAGAACGTGAAAGACTGGCTCAGGTTTCAGGCCATTCCAGCAGAGTTTTAATGATACATTACATCCTTCAGGTTGCAGAACCTTTATGTGCTTAGCCATGATTTATCAGCCCTGGCAGAGGCAGGTACTTCAAAGGCAACCTTATATAAAAAATAAATTCTGCCTTTGCCAAGCATTGGAAAAAGCACTGAATTAAATTTAAAAATCAATTCCTTCAGACAAGAGAGTCATAAAAACTCAGTGGGCTTGTCTATTTGGCCAACAGGCACAAAGTCATGAAAGTACAATTTTGTAATCAATAATAGCAATACAGTGTATGTTTTCTGATTGGAAAAAATTAAAGATGCCAAAACAACATTGATAAATACTTAGGCTGATTTGTGACAGTCGCATTAAGCAGAAACACAACATGCATTTTGATGAATTTCCAACTAGTTTATGTCATACTATACTTTTTATTTTTCAAAAAAGAATATTAAAACTATTATAAGCTTTGTCACCTGCTGTAAGGCAGAATGATGTATTTTATTCACTGCACATTTCATCTGTGAGGCAAAAAAGCATAATTTACTTCTTTATAAAAGGGAAATATATATAACTATATATATATAATTTTATTGGTATTAACATAATGCAATACCATACATTGAGCAAACAGAAAGAAAACATTTCAAAATACATTTTTAAAAGTATCTCCCCGTAAGATAGTATGAAATATCAAGTAATTAGCATTAACATTATTACAATACACCCTTAGCCAAATATATTAAGGAAAATCCACATTCTAACCACAGAGATAGAGGCAAACATCAACCCATAGGGGACTCAGAACATAATGATAAATACAATATCTGCATCTACTTTGAGTGACATCCAGACGAATACTGGCCCCCAAACAGCCCTCTGGAGTCGGGGTGTTATACAGAGAATACTTTGTGCCTGCTTCTCCAGGCAGCATCACTCACATGTTTAACTCCTAGAAGATAAAGAGGAACTGAAGAGTTATCTGCAGAGTATAAGAAATCTCAGCGTGAGGTATCTTCTCCATCATCATCCAAACCAGTGTCAGTGTACCCTCCGGTAATGCGTTACAAATCGTTAGAGAAATAGAAGTCTCTGAAAGGTCTGCGCACACCTTCACTTGACAGAATACACTTAGTTTAGCATGATACAGAAAGGTAGCATCCTTCACATTAGTGAAGGACGCTTAAATGGCACAATCTGTCTGGTTGGCCTGAATGGATTCACTGCAGTTCAGTAAAAGCAACAGGATTTTAGTGTTACCATGGCCGAATCCCTCTTTAATTCCTCGAGGTCTGCAGAACAAAACTGAGTGACATCAAAGCCCTTCCCCTGTCAAGACCCTCTTCCCCTTCTGTTCTCCCATGCAGGGCAGTATTTTCTGCAAATGTGCTCCGTGTAGACTGGATCTGACCTTGTGCCTAGTCCCATTGTGGAAAGGGTGCATTCTTCAAAAGAGTGGCCATGCCCTTGACACCTTCCTGGAGGCCTCATATCCAGGCATGTGGTTGTCTACGCTTTAACAGGTCTAGTCTCTTTTATAAACACCAATGTTATTCAAGAAGAATTGACTTTCTGAACGGAGGCCATTAGGTGTCTTGCAAGAGGCTGAAGTTGAGTCTCCGTCGTGCCAATCGCTAATGATAAGTTTATCAACCTTTGAGTCCAATCGGTTCAGTGCCAAGAGAAGTGGATCCGATTTGACATGGAGAGGTGCTATCAACTCTCGCAGTGTATTAGCCTAATATGATAAAGCAGTGATACAATATGTTGAGAGAACGGTGATGTGCCATTATTTCCATATCATATTAGTATATTAGAATTACTATCATGCAAACAAGAGCAAATAGCAAATCTGGCATACAGTTGCAGCACTACAGAGCTTTTCTAATCTGCATGCACGTATGCTTGTGAGGACAGAAACATGGCACTGTTTCAGTATGACATCTTGCCCCATCAAAAGAGGTATTTAGGGCAGAAAGTTACATATTTGCTTTTTGTGGACACGTTTGGAGAAAAAAAAACAACAACAAAAAAACCCACAAACCAACCAAACAAAACGGAACAAAGACTAATTAAGAAAAAAATAATCGAGAACAATACACATCCTGACCAACTTGGGTTGGTTTCCTCTATACTTAAAAGACATGAACTCATTTGGAAACACTGGAAAAGGGTCACATGAATGAGGAGAAAGAAAGCAAAGAATGTGCCCGAAATCCACCAAACATGCTATGAGCACGGAAAGATACCCTGTCAGCAGCTTATGTTTGAAATAGAAAAAGAGGTGGCACAATGCAATCTGTTTATTTTTGTTATTTTAGCTGGCAATCTAGCACTGTGACACTTCAGATGAAGGGCAAGATTGAGTAGGAAATCACATGACTTTCAAACCACGCTGACATCCAAAAGCTAGGACGTGAGAACTCACGAATCTTTGAGGACCCATGTTAGCAAAGAAAAGAGAAAGAGAGAGGTGGAATAAACAGCATGTTGCTAAGTTGTTTACTGAAGAGTTTTTTGTGTGTTTGCGCAATCTCTGCACACAGGGCACTTTCAAAAGCCCAGCTGGTGTCAGCACATACCCTATTTTGCTGTGAATTATACTTATTTGTAATAAAGTATGAATCTTTCTGTGATTCTCAAAATCCATTGTTTTCAGATCTCACATAGGAAAATCTGTGAGATATTTTTTTAAAAAAAAGAAACAAAAAACAAGCCTCACTTTGGGAAAGAGTTCAACTAGGACAAGTATAAAGATGCAAAAATTATATCCAATTTAATTGTTGAGACTTGTTTATCCCTTGTTAAGGAATTTACTTTTTCAAAAGGCAGGATGAAGAAGGAAGGAAAATACAAAGCTTTGTCACTTTTACTCCTGAGGATATCTGGAAAGGTCTAGGAGAGCAAAAAACGGTGTTGTCTCAGTGACAGAAAGCAGCAGGTGGAAAGAATTCCAGATAGAAACACTGGTGCCATTTAGTCCACCCACGGCAGCAACTGGAAAATGGGTTTCCAAAGAGATGCGCTGTGAGCAATGCTGCAGAGCTCAAAGGAAATTCAGGCTCTTCTGAACTTCCTAGCTTTCCTGGGAATTCTGTGTTAACAGGGAGAGGAGGATGAACAAGGGAGAGGAAAATAGTTTATATAACTGTGTCGTAAGAATAGCAGTCAAGAGACAATTTTACATAACTTATGATTTTAAACAGGGAACATTTGATTATACAACTGAAACGAAAACAAACAAGCAAACAAATAAACACAAAAGAAAATTAAACCCAAACCAACCCCAAACCAAACCCTTGAGAAAAAAAAGCCCATGCCAGCACATTGCAGGACTGATGGAGTTGTGAAGAAAGGAGGCTCAGCGGACTGCAAAAAGGAATGCTTTTCACATTTTAGCCTATTTTATAATGCTAACAGTCAGGGCGTTTGAAGTAACAATCTTGGAGTTGCTTGGAAAAAGGCACTAAGAGAGAGTGGATCCCGCAGCCTCATAGATGTCACTTGTGCAGCTTCAGGAGATCCAGGTGTCTCATGGTTGCTTTTTCTATAACTTCAGCTCTAAAAACTCAGGAAGTTTGGTTTCCTGGAGGAAGGTAGGTTTGGACAAAAGAAACTCCTCTTTTCATGAAACAAGGTGGCTATGAAATAAAGAAGGGGTGTTTTCATTAGGATGTTATTAAGCAGATATCCCAACCCTGCTCTTCCACACGTCTTGCTGAAGCAAGTTGAAGGATGTATCGAAGAACTATGCTACCTTCATTGGGACAGGATGGTTTTTACGTACCTAAAATCCAACTATACTTTGCATTAGAAGATGACTGCTTCTGAAAGAAATCCTGCTGATAAGACATTGTTTTTAGAAGGCTGTTCAGTAATATTGCTAAGGTCTTTGTAGCACGACTGTTAAATACCGCTAATTTTGCTGCGGCCCATTTTGGATTAGCCACAGCGTATATTAACAGCCTTTCATTAGGACCTCTTAAGCAGTAGCCTATTTATCTGAAGGTGAATATAATTAACAGGCACACTTGAGGTTTTCTAAATAGATTTTCTTATTATTTTTACTCTTATAGAAAGCAACTGTACAATATTTCTATTAGGGTAGAGGCACTCTTAAGAGTTTAGTTTGCCTATCTGCCTATCGGTACAAACGTTATATTTCCTTATCATTCTAAAATACACATTAGCAAAACGATTTCAGTAAAATCCAGCACATGGTTCCCTTTCCAGCCTAGAGCTGTTCTAAGTTTGTTTTAAAGGAGAACAAATACAAACAACAACGAACAAGTAATGTGACTTTGGATGGATACTTATCAACACTACAATTTATGAAACTGATGAGACTTGCAAACATTTTGAAAAAAAAACCAATTCTTATTCACATACAAAAATGAATTCAACCCTGTGAAAAAAATGAAGTTATATCATTGCATTTATTAATTAATTTATGCTTGTATTATGAGAAGAGCTGTATGGCAAATGACATTCTCAGAGAGGTTGTAGAAAAAAAAAACTGCCTGCTGTAAATTGTCACATATATCTTCAGCAAATATAACAAGATGTAAGGACTCCTGTGTCTGAGCAAACCTGTAACAGTGGGGAGGCCCTTTACCAGTCAAAAGTTGTGTGAGAGAATACATCAGCGCTCAGATCAAACCAAGCAAGAACTAAAGGATGCACTGCAGGCCTCTCCAGCCATGCCAGCATGTCTCAGTACTGAAGAGAAATGTAAGCATAGGAAAGGAGAAAGTTCTCACTCAAGAGAAATATTTGAATCACAATCAGTAGGGAATAAGGACATGGCAGGTGAACCAACTATTTCCCTCTGTTTGAGATCTGTTTATAAACATTGAAGGCACATCAGCAGTCACTAATCAGATTTAAGTTATGGCTTTAAATTCGATTTTTTTATTTTTTTAAAGAAAGTAGATACCATTTTACTGCTGCCACTTGAGAGTACACTTCCTTACAGAATCACAGAATGGCTTGGGTTGGAAGAAAACTCAAAACTCAACAAGTTCCAACCTCCCTGCCACGGGCAGGATTGCCAGCTGCTAGATCGAGCACTAGACCAGGTGTCTAGGAACTCACCCAACCTTGCCTTGAACACCCCCAAGGATGGGGCATTCATAATGTCTCTGGGCAGCCTGTGTCAGTGCTTCACCAGACTCTCTGTGAACCTTGTTATTTTGTCTAAAATGAGTACAAGATGCCTAGTTATAACATTTATTTAATTGATGGTTAAATTGATGGTAAATTTGCTTTTCAGAGAAGGATGCAGTTAAATGATAACAGGTTAGCAAACTTTTGAAGTAAGCTTTGTAATTTTAGGAAAAAAACCTCCTACTTCCCATCTATAGAGCAAATCAGTTAAACTATAACTGTGTTTGTAATCTCTTTGCTTTCCCTCACCTGTACCCAATTTTGTGTACAAATTTCTATATCTGCCTATATATGCATAAGAGATGCAAAAGAACTTTGACAAGAAGCTCTTTAGTAGTGTCTATCTAGTCCAACAATGAAGCACATCTGGTATGGTGTTTCCTTGAAAGTAAATGCTACACTTGCGCTATCAGGCTTTGAACAGGGAATGAACACAAACATGAGGGGGGAAACATCCCCCCCAATTTACCATAGACTGCTACTTGGCTGCTTCTGTTGTAAGTCCAGTGGCAGCTACTGGGATGCTATGAGGTCTGGGGATGTAGCTAGATGTTGTTCAATTCCCCTGGAGGAATGCTGGCAGATTTACAAGCTATTCCTTGCTCAGCAAAGGAAAGTGTCTTAGGACTGCTTGGGTCACAGAGAGAGTGCCATGCGGAAGGTTGGAATGGCACATCAGTGCAGCCCCCTGGCACTGTACTCCAAAGCAACATACCTGCCATTTATCACATGAGAAGTCAAGTAAGACATGGGAGGCAATAATGGAAGTACTGTGCTGGATATTTGAGTTACTGGAGTGAGCTATGTGAAGCATGGCTAACACAGAAATATGCTATCTACAAGTAGCAAGTTTCATTTTCCCAGCACTACTGTATATACTTTAGTGCCCTTTGTGTCCCCACTGAGCTAAAAGTGACAACAAAAGAACACCAGGACCACAAATACTGTACAAGAAAGCACCATGATGAGAAAGCAGGACTTGGGAGCAGGGAGGACAGGTGGCATGCCAAAGCACATTAAGCTTCCAGCAGTGAGCGGTTCCTGCCCGAGCACTGCTCTCAGCCTGGTGAGCAGAAGGCAGCACAAGAAATGACAGGGTTCTCATCTACAGGGTATTTTTTTTCCCTCTCAACACAGTGTTTCTAAAGGTGCAAATGCACCCTTGCTCTCCCACTATGCATTTCATACACTATTCTTATAGCTAAATAACCCTCTACCCACTCAGTACTAATGAACTAAAAGAAAAAAAAAAAAAAGCAACCCATACAATTCAACACACAAAAAAGCAAAAACCCACTAGTGTTGATGAAGAAAAATGAAAAAAAAAAATGAAGAGCAGTTGGAAAAAATTCATAGCTAAGGTTATCTTACACATTACAGTACCACACCACTAACAGATTTATTAATAGAACAGTATTATTTTCTACATGATCTTGTCTGAAGCTTTGCTTGTGTACACTGAGTCCTATCTAGTTCACCTTACATGCAGGAAAGATCTATAAGCCCTTTATACTTAGGATGCTTTTTCCAAACTCCTGTAAGCCTTGCACTTGGGGACAGCACCACAGGCAG